ATGGCAGGTGTATACGGACTCCATGATTTTGAATGCAATTGCTTTATTCTGAACACAGCTACATCCCCAGTTATAAGTCTTATGCGACCACATTATTTTAGTTTTTTATGTTTACTTCCCCTCCCCCCTAAAAGATTTCAGTTTGTTTTTCAATTTAGTTGTACAGTTTATAGGTCACATTAAAAGGTGGAAAAAGTTCTGAAATTATTTATCTTTGTCTCATTTTTTTACATCAAAGAAACCTGAAATTTTATCAGGGGTGTGTAGACTTTTTATATCCACTGTAACAGGCGTCAAAGGGCAAGTATAAAAATTATGGGGGAGAGCGGGAGTTCCTGTCAAGTGCCATTATGTAAGTCACAGCTGTCAGAGTTCATGTCATTAATTCTCACCATAGCTGTAGGGTTTCCCCTATCCATTTCAAAAAGTTGAACTCCATTCCTGAATATCATATCACTGCTGTCGTGAATGTCCTTCATACGTGAATAAATGCTTTTTCTGCATCGGTCAGAAAGAGAAGCTTAGGTATGGCCTTCTGTGTTGCAAGATGTATCATGGCAGGGGCGCTCAACCTTTTGAAGAGTGAGGGCACTTAATTGAGTTGGTACCTAGCCACAGGCCACAATGAAATGAAATGGTTCAGCAATTAAAATTGTTTATTTTGCATAGCATAACGAACATTTTCCTCGTACAGCCACTGAATGCTGGTGTGAGGAAGAGAAGCCAAATTTCAGTGGTTGCAGGAGGAAAATGGAGAGGATCGGTTCCTGTATATGCTGCCCCTGCCACCACTTCCTATACAAGTGTAAAACCGAATGTAACATGGAGGCCGCACAGGGCCCCCTGGAGCATGGGCCAGGGACACTAATGCAACCATTAATGCTACACCTGTGGTTGGGGGTGTGTGGTAAAAACACATCTCACCTATGGGGTTAGCTGCACTTTGCCACAGGCTTCTATTATTATCTTGTGCTTTTGTGCTTTCAGAAAGCGCATCAAACCTGCAGGATATAATAGAAGTGCGCGTTCTTGGTTTGAGGTCGAGAACCACATCAGAAGGCTTCGATTGCCACATGTTGGGCACCCCTATGTTAAGAACTCTAGTAGTATTATCTTTCACTTATCCGTAGGGACAAAGCCCGCTTAGCCATTGTGAATAGGTCAATGGATCATTAGAAATAGTGTGTTGGCCATTATTTTAGTAAAATGTTTATTACCTATGATTATGAGAGATTAGACAGTGACTTGCATGTGTGTGTTTTTAATGTGGATGGTCACATATTCATTGTATAAGAACATACACGGTGCACACAATGTGTGTTCTAGGTATCCATATAAAATTAACCGATAAGGAGGCAAAGCTCCATACATGAGGAGGCTATATGGGTAAGGGAATCCTTTCTTTTATGCTGTATGTACTGAATGATGGCTCATTACTGCATCCTGTCCCTGAACACTGTGTATTAATATATGACATGATCAGGGCCATCTTTAAAGCAGGGAAAAAAGGGCAGCTGCCCATATTTGCCAATTGTCCTGGTTTACATACCCTTGTCACTTGAAGTCTTCCTCCTGCGCTGTGTTCTGATATCTCAGTGTGAAGTGCTGTCACATATACTGCCCAGCTCTGCCCTACTGCAGTGCACAGATGACCCATGACATGTCAGCATTCACATGTAAATAACCAGCATTATTATGTAAACAATGATGGCATTCACATAGAAATTGTGACATTCATATGTAAATAGCGGTGGCATTCATATATCCCCCTGAGGTTCCAGCCACCATTGTCTTTGCTGAATGCTGCCCACTGGAGAGGTAAACAAGGGCATGCTTGAATGTCCTGCCTGCAACTGTGGTCATTGAGCCTACCATCAGCCTGTTCTGCAAAGGTAAGCAAAGTGGTGCGAGTGGGGTGTGCAGAGGTAGGCAGAGAAGGAATTACAATTTGGGGTGCACAAGTGAGCAAGGAGGGGGATGTAAAGAGGTAAGGAAGGTGGGCGCATAGATGAGCAGAGCAAGCATGTTGAGTTAAGGTGGAGGAGTTGGAGTGCAGAGGTTGGGGGAGATGAGCCGCAATAATGTGCTGTAACCTCTAGCAACCAATAAGTGAGCTGTAATAATGTGCTGTAACCTTTAGCAACCGATAACTGGTAATGATGCACAGTAACCTATGGTAATGATGCACAGTAACCTATAGTAACCAATCAGTGAGTGATATTGATGTGCAGTAACCTCTAGCAACCAATCAGTGAGTGGTATGGATGCGCAGTAACCTCTAGCAACCAATCAGTGAGCTGTACTGTGTGCTGTAACCTCTAGCAACCAGTCAGTGAGCAGTAATGATATGCTGTAAGCGCTAGCAAGCAGTTGCAATCGCTGCCTGATCTGCTGCAGTAAACTGATTTTGAGTCTAGCAGCTATTTACTGTTTGTGTCAGAGAAAGTGGACAGCGAAATTGCATGGGGGGGGTGTCAAGAAAATGTTCGCCCAGGGTCCAGTCAATATTAAAGACAGCCCTGGACATTATCCACAAGTTGCATCAGTGCATACCCTAAAGAGTACTGAAGTGGTTACAAAATTAAGATGGTTGGAGGTTAGAACCAAGGTTTGAACGTAAAGTATATCTAAACCAATTGTTTTCTTTAAAACCTCTGCCAGTTTTTTTTCATAATACAGGTCCCGTATTCACTCATAATGTTGAAATCTCCCTCAAATTCAGTCCCTGTGACAATGATCACCAGGACAAAATGAGAGGATGAATCTCCATAACACTAACACAAACAATACAAATATGACAGAGGTTCTAACCCCACACCACTCAATCCAAATACTATAAAATAAATATTTTTTCTTTAGACACAGTTTAAAGCCAAGTCTTCAATAACATGTATGGTGGAATGTTCCTTTATTTACCAAGTTGAAAACTCTCCCTTAAGATTAAAATTGAATTTTTTAAACAGCTGTAGATAAAGCATTATTGGGATTATGGTTATGGTTAACATTTCAACCTATCAATAGGTCTAAATTTGTTTCACTTCTCTAATGAAATAGAAGTAATGCCTTCCAAGTACTTGCATCTTAATACAAATAACTTGTAATGTATATTCAAAATCACATTTACAAACATAATTTCTTCACTAAATTCCATTAGCAGCCATCAGCTCCACACAGTAGGGAGTTTATGCTATTCGGAAACATCCTGCATCCCAGGATGACACCTGACCCACTAAAAGCTGCCGGTAATTGCAGTCAAACATGAGACATCACTATAATTTATGATTACAATTCGTCATGTGTAGACATGTTTTCAATTTTCCTTTGTTTGCTCACTGGAGCGGAAATAATCTTAAAAGTTAAGTTCTAGCCAAAGAGCAAACTGTTGGTTTGAAACACAAAGATGTAAAGAGATTTAATTGCCATAATATTTGTGATTTTCTCCAGCTACTCCTATGATTCCTACAAGTCACACTGCTTAGTTAGGTCAGCATTCTCCATTTTTTTTTCTTTTTTTGCAAATTCTTTATTTATGTATACATTAGAATACGGTAAGTTACAGTATATGGCAGAAAGCTACATTGTGTTGTACAATCCTTCATAACAGTGAAGTTAAGCAATATACTGTAGGTGGTCACCTCTCCACCCCCCAGATAAAACGATTGGACATGGGGGGAGTGGAACACTCATGAAGTCATCCATTTGCCTTTCCCTGCAGGAATCAAGCTTCTAGTGATGGTAGATATGTTAAATTAGGAGGGCTTTGAGATGTGGTAAAGGCTTACAGAGCTTGTCCTTCCTCTCTCAAAACAAATTAGGTGGCTGAAGTACCGTCCTGGTTAAAGCGAGGGTGGCCAGAGAGACTACACTACACTACAAGGGGCACTTCAATGCATTGGTATGGTCAAAAGGACCAGAGGATAGGATACTGTTTAATTGATACCATCTGGGACGGTCAGGAGTCTAAAGCCAGCCATAGATGACTGAGTTATCTATGGGCAGGCTGACAATATTCTTTCCTGTAACCCATGGCCGCCGGAAAGAAAACTGCATTGTCCATGGCTTGCCTTAGGGTGGCACTAGGTCAGGATGCAGAGGGAAAGACCACCCCTCCCCCTTCCTTTCCCAGCTCTATTTAAAATGTGTTTTTGTGTTTTAATTGCTCTTTGTGAAGATGTCCCTTTATTCCTTCACCCAGTCACAGGAGAACAGAAAGTTATGCAAAATCTTCCCTGTAGGGACAATCTTGTCTGTGGTCATAATCCTTCCAAACTCTTATCTAAAGCTACAATAGGGAGTTTTGCATAGAGCACCACTTTAATTTTCATCCAGCAACTAATTCTCTCGTATTTATGTGCCTATGTCAGACAGTTACTACTAAGACTGACACAGCGATTGGGTATTAAAGATCTAAGTGACATCATAGAAGATCCCAAATGGAAGTTTAACATGACAGTTCTTCAGGTGGGGGTTGTAGATCTAAGTAAAATTCTGCAGACATAATTTTCCTAACTATCCTTCACCATGAACCAAATGATAAAATCTGGGTGAAATAAGTATATGAAATTCAGTTCCCCCATTGCGCTAAAGATGTAGCTTGAACTTTACAATTTGGTCGCCAGTAAATCACCTGTGTGTTTATCAGCCTCATTTGAAAAAATAATTCCCTTTATTAAGTGCAGGGACCCATAGGGGAAGATTTACTAAAACTGGTGCACACAGAATCTGGTGCAGCTGTGAATAGTAACCAATTAGCTTCTAGGTTTTACTGTCAAAGGTTAATTTAAAAAGCTGATTGGTTATTATGCACAGCTGCATCAAATTGTTTGCGCATCAGATTTAGTAGATCTCCCGCATAGTATAACATCAGAATCCACTTTGCTGAAGTCAGATCAGTACAATGTGAAATATGGTTGACTGCTGTGGGTTATTGCATCAAGAATTAGATCTCTTTATTACTGTCCATGCTAATGATCATCTTTTGTAGGTATTTATGTAATTACCTTGGTATAACATATATTTGTCAGAATCAGCATGGCAAGCAGATACAGGAGGGTGGTGGCTAACCTGTAAAGAAAACAAAATAGTTCATAACACAGTCTCATTAATCCTAAACCATCAACACCAAAGAAATTACATCACTTGGGCCATTAATAGACAAAAAGTAAGATGCTGTTATAGTTAGTATATTAGGAGCAGCACAGTTGGTGTTATTCTTATATCGAACAAATCATTCTACATTGGCAGCAAAAAGATATTGTACAAACAAAATAAATCATTTCTGTGTATTAGAGCAGGGGTCTCCAAACTTTCTAAACAAAGGGCCAGGACTGTGGCCCCTGGAAGCAGAAAATGTCCCGGCATCAGTTGAAGTAAACAATGCCCCATCTTTGGTGTCAGTGAGAGGAATTGTCCCCCTCGTTGGTGTCATTGGGTGGGAAAAATCATGCCCCATAGTTGGTGTCACTGGGAGGTATTGTATTGGTGTCTTTGGGAGGAACTGTTCGTTGATATCATTGAGAGGAATTGTGCCCCTTCATTGGTGTCAGTGGGGGAAATTATGCCCCATTGTTGGTGTCAGAGGATGAAATACTGCCCCAAGGGCCAGATAAAAGCAGGCAAAGAGCCACATCCGGCCCAAGGTCACAGTTTGAGGACCACTGCATTAGAGCATAAAGCTCCTGTGCTGTGACTCCCAAATTTAGAACAATATCAATTTAATTCATGCAAATATCTCTTGGTGTAAGAACATGGAGGAGTCTAAGCCGGTTACAGTCCTCTTTGCTCCAGCAGCAAATATGAAGATTTTGATCTCACATGCAATGCCCCAGCAGATTTCTGAAAGTATTCTAGTTTGTCCAGTCACATGTAGTATACTCTATGAATGACAAATGTGCAATGATAGATGAACAACAATGAAACTGGCAACAGCATTGGTGCTGCTTACAAGATAGGGTTTCAGGTGTTGGGAGCTTGGCTAGTCTTAGCAAATGGAAGGCTTTAATTAAAGTGTAGCTCATTTGTAACTTAAATTGGTTATAAAGCATTAATCTTTTTACATTTTTGCAATCCCTGCATTAAGGTAAGAAACGTTCCATTAGCAGTATCACTCCTTCACCCCCTTTCTAGTAACCTGAGTCCTCATTTGATCCAGAACTAAGCCCATCTGTAGCAGCTCTCCCAGTGCACAGTGCTCAGCATAAATGAGTACAACCCTTTTGAAAAGTAAGCTTTTAATCAATATCTCAATGAACACTTGAACACTTTCCAAACTTCTGACAAAACTGAGTTTCACAGAACATTGTTTATCTCATTACATGAAAGTAAGGTAATAATATAACTTAGATTACAAAATCTTCACATTTACTCAAATTAGTTGATGCAAAAATACACTCCACAACAAAAATAAATTCATCGAATATCTCCTAGATTGTAAGCTTCAAGAAGCAGGGCCCTCCTATCCCTCTTGTAGTGAACTGTATTGTTGCTGTATTGTCTCCCATTATATTGTAAAGCGCTGAGCAAACTGTTGGTGCTATATAAATCCTGTATTATAATAATATTAATAATATTTTGTATGACCTCCATGAGATTTGTAAGGAAAGCACCAAGTTGATTCTGAAAGGAAAGGTTTTCTGACAAATCTGTTGGGGTATACACACACACACACACACACACAAACACACACACACACTAGATTGCCAAAAGTATTGGGACGTCTGCCTTTACACGCACATGAACTTTAATGGCATCCCAGTCTTAGTCTGTAGAGTCCAATATTGAGTTGGCCCACCCTTTGCAGCTATAACAGCTTCAACTCTTCTGGGAAGGCTGTCCACAAGGTTTAGGAGTGTGTCTATGGGAATGTTTGAGCAATCTTCCAAAAGTGCATTTGCGAGGTGAGGCACTAATATCGGATGAGAAGGCCTGGCTCGCAGTCTCCGCTCTAATTCATTCCAAAGGTATTCTGTCAGGTTGAGGTCAGGACTCTGTGCAGGCCAGTCAAGTTCCTCCACCCCAAACTCGCTCATCCATGTCTTTATGGACCTTGCTTTGTGCACTGGTGCACAGTCAGTTGGAACAGGAAAGGGCCATCCCCAAACTGTTCCCACAAAGTTGGGAGCATGAAATTGCCCAAAATGTCTTGGTATATTGACGCCTTAAGATTTCCCTTCACTGGAACTAAGGGGCCAAGCCCAACCCCTGAAATATAACCCCACACCATAATCCCCCCCCTCCAACAAACTTTACATTTGGCACAACGCAGTCAGGTAAGTACCGTTCTCCTGGTAACCGACAAACCCAGACACGTCCATCGGATTACCAGACAAAGAAGCAAGATTCGTCACTCCAGAGAACACGTCTCCACTGCTCTAGAGTCCAGTGGTGGTGTGCTTTACACCACTGCATTCGATGCTTAGCATTGCATTCGGTGATGTAAGACTTGGATGCAGCTGCTCGGCCATGGAAACCCATTCCATAAAGCTCTCTACACACTGTTGTTGTGCTAATCTGAAGGCCACACAAAGTTTGGAAGTCATTAGCGATTGACTCTACAGACAGTTGGTGACTTCTGCGCAGTTCAGCATGCACTGACACCGCTCTGTCATTTTATGTGGCCTACCACTTCGTGGCTGAGTTGCTGTTGTTCCCAGTTGCTTCCACTTTGTTATAATACCACTAATAGTTGACCATGGAATATTGAGTAGCAAGGAAAATTTCACAGATGGACTTATTGGACAGGTGGCAACCTATAGCTGTACACGCTTGAATTCACTGAGCGTTACCCATTCTTTCACAAATGATTATAGGATAGTCTGCATGCCTAGATGCTTGATTTTATGTACCTGTGGCCATGGAGGTGATATATATATATATATATATATATATATATATATATACACACACACACACACACATACACAAACATTATATATTCTTATAGTTGTCAAGCAAATGAAAAGCAGCAATCTGGAAGAATAATAACACTTGCATATTACCTGCTCAGCAATGAACCTGAATCCTCTCTCTTCACTTATACATTCATAAGTCTCTCCAAGCACAGGATTAAATGGCTTGCTACCAGCCCTGTAGAAACTAGGTGCATATGCAGATACTGCAAATGTGGCAATATAAACCTGTTTAAAAAAATAAATTCGGATTTTGCAATTAAAAGCATTACTGTACTCCAACCAAAACATGTTTTTATTTTGGACACAATATGGAAATGTCTTGAGACACAGGCAGTAACAAAAAGCTAAAGAAGGATGCAATCTTCCCATAGTCGAATTAAAGAGTGATCACTGCTGCTGGGGGGGTCTAGACTTACCCCACTTTCAACATTACAAATCACGACAGAAATTACTAATAGGGACATTGTCAGAAATAATTTATCTGCTAATCTAACCATTCAACTTTCTAGAACAAAAATGCTTTATCTGCACTTTAACAAGCTTCCCAGAGATTTTTTCCCCATAAAGAAGGAGCTCTAAAACAAACTGTTGCCTCCCTACCTTCAACTTCTAGATATGTGCAGAAATGTCTCTATGCTTTCAAACACAGCCAGATTTCCTCCTCAACATGTCATAGCCAAGTGGGGTAGAGTCAAACCTCTCTCAGGTTTTTCCCTCAATTACTGAAAGGCTGTAGATAATTCTTTTTTTGTTGGGGGGAGGGGGGACGACGACTTTGTCTTTGGGCACCCAAGGGAAAAATGTAGGTGATGCATGCAGTATGCCACAGCACATTGTGGGTGTGGCAACAATTTGGTAACATATGAAACAGTCCTTACTTCCAAAAAATATTCTTTAATTTCTGTGCCTGAGTCTAACAGGAGTGAGGGTTTCCTAATGCACAGAGTGCAATGACAAGAGTGCATAACAGCACAGGTCAGTATAAAAAAAAGAGCATTATCTCCCTCCTCAAACCGAAATTCCCCAAACTACAAATCCCCCCACCTCCATTACAGCTACCCCAGTACAGATTCACCTCCCCAAACAATTACATATTTCTCCCCACCAGCACAACTCCCCTTAATACAGATCTCCCCATTACAAATCTTCCCCACCACCAGAACAGTTCTCCCCAGTGCAGATCTCTAAAGTGCAAGCTCTCTTCCCTTCATGAAATCCACTCATTAGACCAGGCAGATCAGAGAATGCTCACCGAGGGAAGTATTCAGCTGTATCATGTGACCAAAGCTATGGAGATGCTGAAGAGACCCTCCCTTTCTTTGAGCTGCTGCCTAAGTTCTGACAGAGGGCAAGAGCGGCAGCGTTTCTGGTGTACCCTCAACCCCCCAATGTCAGTGCAAACTGCAGCGATGTGGGCGTTTGCTTGGACCCCCCCTTCCTCCACACACGCACCCACCTATGTCCATGGCTTCCTGCTCTGGTGGCACAAGTAGCAGAGAAAAGGAAGTGAAAAATTCCCCAAAAGAGACACCAACAGCAATTAAAAAAAAAAAAGTGTCAGAGGTTCTATCCCTTCCCTACTTTGCAAAAGAAAAAAAACCCAGAAAAATAACTTCTGGCTGGAGTCCCCCTTCCTCACTAAATCCAGTTGGATGCTTTTACTAATAACTCCTTTACTTTATAAATCATTTTTTAGAAATGGCTCCTATCCTTTAATAAGATTCTCATTTATATACCATTCTTTCAAATGGGTCCTGAGTGTGAGATGCTTTGTCTAGCAATTCACTATATTCCAGCTCTTCACACAGCCGCTGTAGAGTGTTAAGGGGCTCATTCAGCTGTACTGGCATAGACACTTTAGACAAGTCCTTTCCAATGTTGTTCCGAAGAATGTTCCACAGACTGATATTACTTGTGTTTGGGCACGGAGCAGGAAGACATGTTCGATGCTTTGAAAATCCATCCACCACAGAAGCCCCATCTACAACAGAAGAAATGAGAGATTGGTGAGATATGGTCTGCCAGTAGAGAAAGCTCAAGTAATATCTGTACTCCAGCACACACAGCTCATTTCCCTGTATCCATGCCCCCCGTAATATCTGTATTTCAGCACCCAGCACACTTCTATGTGTCCAAGCCTTCAGTAATATCTGTACTCCAGAACACATAGCTAACTTCCCTGTATCCAATGCCCTAGTAATATTCATACTGTATCACACACAGCTCACTTCCCTTGTATCCATTTACCTAGTGCCAACTCTTAGATGGCCATTTTAGTGAACACAATATACAGGGATATGGGAAATGGTATTAAACACACGCACACAGGTTCAACTGGTGTCATTATTCAATCTTAGCAATTACTGAACTATGTAATATCTGTTCCCTAGCACAAACACAGCTTACATACCTGTATCTATGTCTCCAGGTATATCTGTATTTTAGCACACAAAGCTTGCTGCCATGTATCTATGCCCCCAGTTTTATTGTTAAAGGGGGCCCTCTGGAACCTCTGAAATGCATTGGATTTCTAAGCGATTATAGTAACCAACAAATGTCATCTGGACTATTAAAGTAGACTGACACTCCCTTATCTAAAAATCTTCAGACATTACCCCGAGAGCCTACCCAGGGATCTCCATTGTACTAAAGAGCCACCTACAAAAAAGCTGATCAGAGCACCCACCTACACCAGGATCCTGGGCTGCACAACCTTGTGTCTCATCTCTCTGTGACACACATTTTCTCATACCTATTACACAAATGCATCATAGTGCTATTGTGCTCTCAAATCCACACGTCTCTGTATCTCCTTTCTGCTTCAGGCAGTGTTACTCAATAATTAAGCTGACTGCATGTAACAATCTGATGGCATTTTGAACACAAGAAAACGGTTTGAAAAATAGTTTGTGAGTTGCATGTACAGCATTAAAGTGGTACTTTATGCCTTAACCTTTCTATGCATGAAGGTCAAAAACCTTCAGTGTGCAGCTCCCCCCCCCCCCCCCCCCCCCAGCAGCCTCCCCTAATACCTAAACCTGATCACTATCCAGCGTTGTGCACGAGAGCAGCGGCACTCCCAGGTATCTCTCTCCTCATTGGCTGAGACATAGCAGCGGGAGCCATTGGCTGCCGCTGCTGTCAATCACAGCCTGTGAGGAGGGAGCGGGGGGACGGCCCTGAGTCATCCTCTAAAACGCAGAGGTGGCTCAGGAACGAGCACGCATGAGTGCCCCCAGAGCAAGCAGCTTGGAGGGGTCACAAGCACTGGCAAGGGACCAGAGAAGAGGAATCTTGGAGCTGTCCTGTGCAAAACCATTGCACAGAGCAGGTTAAGTATGTGGTGTTTATTATTTTAGGAAAAAGGAGCCTTTAGAATCAATTTAAGCTGCAATACAATATAATCTTATTGCAGAATCTGAGTGCTCTCCATAAAGCCAGCCATACATGGATCAAAATTCGGCCAGTTTAGCAGTTTTAATAAAACTCCAAAAGAGTTTATCAGAGACCGGACGCATTTCGGACCATGTATGGGCAGGCCGGTTGTACACAAGTTGATCTTTCAATCAATTTGTGTATAACGAGCCTGCTGAAACATTTTATCTTGATCAGTGCCGCCGGCTATAGCTGGCAGTGCTGATGAGTGTACTCTGATGGCGGGGCAATCTCCCTGCAGCCAAAATACACAGGACCGGCAGGAGGGATTCACTCGTCCACAATGAGTGTGTGGATGGGGAAACAATCATTTTTCTTGGCTCAACCAGCAGATTGAACAAAAGAAAATGACTTGTTTATGGCCAGCCTTAGATTCACCAACAGCTATGCAATGCAAAGGTCTAGCCAAGCAATATCTTCAATGTATACCTAATCAAATAGACCTTCAAATACGCAGTCGTTGGTAAGTATAAAAATAAACTGTACAATTGACTGTAATGTAAGAAGAAAGCTTTAAAATGTGTGGAGGTCTAACAAAAATAATCCCAATTTATTAAGTCAATATTTCCTGTATGATCAATTTCTTGTATTTACTTGTATTTGTCATACAGTGACAAATAAGCACATTTTTTTAAGTACTGAATTTCTAACTTATGTAAACTCCAACCACAAAGTAACCACCATGAAATCTTTCAACTGAAAAGACCACAGGAGAGGTAAGGATGACGATTTTTTTCCTACAACTTCTTGTTCACAGGGCACCAAACTGTACCTAGAGATTGTCTTTCAATGTCATTGCTTAGATTATCCTCTGATATGTTATCACTTATATCGCTGACATACGAGTCATCATCTGATACCTGGAAAACAAACAAAATCCATATATTAATGACCAGTGCTGGAGATTAAGTACATTAAGGAAAGTGGAGGCCAGAGTTAATAGAAGGAAAGAAGCCAATGCTTTCCAAAGGCTCATTTCCTCAAGATACATTGTCAATGCTTTCAAAAGGCTCATTTCCTCAAGATACATTGTCAAGCATTTTTTCAGCATTATACAAGCAAGGAAATTACTGTTTTCAGAACGTTCTGTCACATTGTGATGCACTGGAGTAAAATCCTGCATGCTGAATTTTAGCTGCACAGACCTGCAGTTGGTCATTTCAGCCAGATCAAATGTAACCTATGAGAAATGCAACACTTATTAAAGCATGACAACATGCTCTTTAGCAAAGTTCTTGCAGAATTGATCCTTTAGATGAAGAATTTGTACACCAAAAAAGAAAATGAATAAATACTTCCTAATATTGCTACTTGTTGACAAGTCTAAACAGCATTATTTTTATTTCTAACGAAACATAATTAGTGGTAGTGAACTTCTTTTTATACTTTTACCTACAGGTAAGCCTATAATAAAGCTTACCTGTAGGTAAAATGAATATCTCTTAAACAAGAACCGTTTAGAAGAAATGCGCTCTTTTTGAGAGTCCCGCACATGCACTCTGAAGGAACAGTATACCTGTGCTGTTCCTTCAGAGCACTGTGCCGTGGTCCGGGACTCCCGCACGCATGCTGGAGCACACAAACCCAGAAGGAAGAACAGGTAAAGATGGAAGCATCTGCAGAAATGACACCGCAATGCTGAAGAGTTTCGTTTTAAGGAAAGTCCTTCATAATGTGCAAGTATGTGATGCATACTAGCACATTATGACATTACCTTGCAGGGGATTTTTTTTTTTTTTTAACCTGCGGTTTACTACCGCTTTAAAGATAAAACTTTATTTTAGTTTTGGATAGAACGGAGAGGGATTAAACACCTGTCAGGTTTTTTTGATGTCTGTGGCCCAGTTAAGGAGATTCACCTCTCTATTTGTCATGTATATGGTTATCGAAAGTGAAAATTTAAACAAAAATTTAAATTTTGGGTTGCACCCAGAACAGCAATAGTGAGCATATTTTCCAATGGCAACACTTATTCTGGTGACCATGGGGACAGCCAGGGATTTCCTCACTTTGAAGGGATTTCCTCTCACTTTCTGTTTTGGTTATCAGACAGGAAGTGAAGTGAAAACTCCACAATGGAGCACAGATGGATAAAAAAAAAATTACAGGGGTTACACCCTTCCCTTAATCTATCCAAAATATGAAGAAAAAAAAGTTTTGCCTAAAGTTCTACTTTAACATGTGTTCAAAAAAACCCAAAACTGAGAACGGAAATTTAGTTATTGAAAAAATTAAGATAGAGGAAAAAGAAGACAATTTTTTTCTTATTAACAGAGACACTGAATGTCTCTTCCAGCTACAAAAAAATTTCCCAGTCTCCTAGCAATTTTGTTTTCTAATGTACGCTGCCTGAGATGCATTTAATACTGTGTACACTCCCAGAATAAGTAAGATTCCAATAGTGGAGCTGGGTACTGGAATAATGTAACTTCTGTACATATGTTATTTTATCAGCGGTCCTCCCATAGACTTGGAGGAAAGAAAGGAACCTCGACTAAGAGAAAATGACAGCAGGGGGAGTGATGAGGGCATCTCTGATCTGTCAGTGCTGGAGGAGGGCAAACAGTTCTGCTTTAAGACGTATCAAAACCCGAAAACAAAGATGTAATATATTGCAGCTTACCAGGCTTTTTTCAGGCTACAAACATTTTCAGCAAGTACAGCAAATATCTGTTGATCTTGCCAGAAAAGTATAGTCAATTTCTGGGAGCTGAGATGAAAGCAAAAAGAATCTTCTACCAATCCCCCATGTAATGGAGATGAACAAAGGCAGACAAGTTTGAAGTCCAGCCTGTGGGGAAAACAAGGCTGTCCCTTAGATATATTGGAGAAAAAAAGCATACACATGAAGGGAGAGGAAGTGTATTTTTCCACAGGATAACTAGATGAAACTAGTTAAAAAAGAAGGCTGAAAAAGAAAACTAATGCATCCGTTAAATCTAAGGACTGGTAATCTGCAATATATTAAATTTTTGCGTTGAAATGCAGTTTTTAAAATAAGTTCTGTAAATGTCCATTAAATTTCAAAGAATTTATATCAATGTGCCAGCATGGGCTATAATAGTTGAAGATGAAGGGCAGTGTTTCCTTTATATATGAAGACTAATAACATTCTATTTAAGAAAGTATTCATATAGGGCCAAACTTAAAGTGGAATAGTGGGCTGTGCCCAACTGCTCTGAAAACTGTCCCTTTCCCCTCCTAACACTTATACTTACCAACCTGTGCATATACTCACCTATTTTCAGGCTGCTTTACATAAATCTCCCGTGTCAGCCAATGGCTGCCGGAGAGAGGAGAAAATACTCTGACGATGGCTAATAAAGCCTGGACCAGTGACGTCACCCAAAGGCTTCAATGGTCCATCCATTGTGGGCGCTCCTTCCTCTCCCCTGCAGTGGTGTTGGCTGACAGAGGGTAGCAGGATCATGTGACCGGACTGGAGCAGCCAGAAAATAGGTAAGTAAATGCATCTTTCTTACATAGATTAGGAAGTATAAGTATTAGCATGGGGAGAGGGTACAGTTTTAAGAGTAGTTAGGTAAAGTGCGGAATTCCATTTAACCACTTCCTGTCCAGCGACGTACTAGGAAGGGTGGAACCAGTTTTTCAAGCCGGTGATTCCAAAGCTGGTAAAAGTAATCCGAGAAGCTAAAGAGCCACTGGATTACTTTTACAGGTGGTGGAAGTAGGTCCCACTCCTTTCCTGCCACTACCACCACCGCCTTTACTGGGCACTCCCGAGCTATCAGGGAGTCCAGTAAGGATGCGACCAGCGGCATCTAGCTCCGGGCACACAGTGAGAGGAAACTATGTTGTTACTACCACTGTGCGACGTAAGAAACCAGAGGTGATGACGATTTTGTCACTTCAGCTCTTTGTTTACCTGGCTGTCACTGGCCAGGGAAGCAGCCGATCAGACTGATCTGTGTCTGATCGGCTGCAACGGAGGGCAGAGGAGAGGTCTCCATAAAGTGGAGCTGTCACGGCCCATGCTGTCACAAGGGATGTTGTTCATTCCTTGTGATAGCAATAAAGTTAATTTAAAAAAATTAAAGAGACAGTGTAAAAATATTTTTTAAATAAAATAAATAAATAATAATAAAAAAAAAAAGTAAAGCACGCTCACGCAAATGTAAATGCACCACACGTGAGGTAGGGCAGCGAATGTCAGAGTAAGAGCAATAATTCTAGATCCAGACCTCCTGTGTAATCCTAAACTGGTAACCTGTAAAGGCTTTTAAAGTGTCACCCATGGAGACACAATTATAAAGTGTGACATGTTTGGTATCTATTTACTCGACGTAACAATCTTTTATAATTTAAAAAAATTGGGCATTATAATGTGTTATTGTGCATTAAAATTCATTAAATTGCATTTTTCCCCACAAATCTGCATTTGAAAAAACACTGCACAAATACTGTATGACATAAAAATATGCAACACCCAACATTTTATTCTGTAGGGCCTCTGCTAAAAATATATATAATTTTTGGAGGTTCCAAGTAGTTTTGTAGCAAAAAAAATGATGTTTTATATATGTAGGAGAGGAATGTCAGAAATGGCCCAGACTGGAAGTGGTTAAACATCATGGAGTCCTAGGCACACACGAAGAGTGATGTCCAACAATGCCATACTTTTGGAAAAACCAAAACACGATTACATGTCATCCTATTTGAAATGCTTCTATTTATACCATACAGTCCAAATTAAAGATGAGGCAATTTCATGTTTCCAAAGCTACAAAGAGTAATGTGACTCCTCAGCTGCCTCTACACCCTCTTCTAAAAGTTTTTTTTCTCCCCTTTGTTAGATTAACCAATATATTCATTTTCCAAACATGGCTAGAAAAGGGGAAGAATTATCTAAAAAAAAAAAATACAGACAATTTATACATTTTAAAACTGGATACACGGACACCCTAGGCACAGGGTCATTAGTAACAAAAGATAATAAGTTAGGAGGCGTTTGCTTAACATAATAAAAGTGTCAAAAGAGAGTCCAATACAGTGCGTTACCCCACACCATAAGAGCAAATTAAAGTTCTAAAGGAGGATGCTGGATTGTGCCTAATTTTCCACACCAATCTTCTACACCACTGGTGTTAGGTAATTGAATTCCACACTCACCAGAAAATTTTGACCCCCAGTTAGAATGGTAAAAACAGCACTATATTCTCCAAGCCTGTCCTCTCATAGGGTAGATCTCCAGACTTTCCTTCAGTCAACAATGTCTAACAAACAGGCTCAATAAAACAACAGATGTCCATAGAAAACATCTAACTGTAGTATTTATTAAAATCCTTGGCACCAAACAACATGTATTAAGATAACACTCACATGATTAGGTGCCTACAAATCCCGGCACCAGTTGAAACCGCCTTTTTAGATTCATGGAAATGTCACTTTATCTCCTAGACTAGCCAGAGTGCGCGCCAAGCCTCGATCTGGTGGGCCAGATGTGACATCATATGACCTGGAAGTGAAGGTCCGCGCTTCTACGTACGTTTCACCAAGAAGTGACGATCCGCTCTCTCCGGGAATTATTTATACATACAAAAAGATTGTAATTGGGCAGCTACACCAATATGGCTAAAAAGCCATCGATATACTATGGACAGTGACGTCTGTAAGGTTGTATACAGTGCTGCAGTTCACAAAACCAATAACATAAATCAAATATTATATATATACATACATACACAAGAAAAGACATATGTAAAATGGATGAAACAAATAGAGGAACACACAACTGTATCTCACCAACGAACATCTGAATTTAATTACGTTACAGCTCCCTCCAGTGGTAATCCCACCTTTGTCCATAATAGACCATATCAAAAGGCTGGTATTTAGCTCA